GGGCGTTGGGTTCAATCCTCAACACCACATAAAATATAAAATAAAATAAAGATGTTGTGTCCACCGAAAACTAAAAAAATATATATATTAAAAAAAGATATTGTGTTCACCTATAACTAAAAAATAATTAAAAAAAAAAAAAAAGAAAAGCCTGAGAAGAGTCTAAGACCCACACTGTGGCCCCTAAAGCTAGCCATGCACCTTTCTAAAACAGTTACCTGGTTGGGCAAGCCTCCCCACACTACCCTCTCAAGCAAAACTCTTGGTTTATGTTAGGGACACTTCTGTCACCCAGCAACCCTGGAGAACTGTTGTTTCCCCAACTCAGTCGTTTGACCTGGGCCCCCATTCTACTCTGGGGTTATGCTAGGTCTATCAGAGCCAAGCCAGAGACGCTGCATGGAAGTCTGTGGGTTGAGGAAGGAGGACCCTGAGCTGGTAGGATGTGAACCTGGAGCCGCTGGCTGTAGCTCTTTACATGGAGAGATACCTTCCTGAAAACCAAAGAGACAGAGGAAGCACATCAGAACACAAAAAGCAGGCAACCTCCTGGAATCATCTTGGAGCACCTAAGCCTAGATTATGCCCCAAACGTATGTAAATCAGTAAGTTTCCTTTTGCTTAGGCCAGCTTGAATGACATTTGTCACCCCCATCAAATGTGCCTATCACCACTCTCCAAAAGCCTGTGCACACTCAGAGATGAAAATGGACATTTTAATACCCCAAATTGGCTACAGCCACTCACACCCCTCACAGCGTCAAGTGCACCATACCTTCCCAAAGCACCAAGAGACATGAGGCTGGCTTACTGTTCGTGCCTTCTGTACCTTTCTAGAAAATTCTAGCACTGGATGTTGGGACCATCTTACTAGACCCTTCTGTATCCTCCGTGAGAAGAACGAGGCTCAAGGGAAGAGACTGCCTGGGCACATCCAGAGCAAAACAAAACCTCAAAAGGCTTGAGAAGCTGTTCAAAAGGGCCAGGCAGGCAATGTTATTTAAGAAAGCTTGCTGGGCTGGGGTTGTGGCTCAAGCGGTAGCGTGCTCGCCTGGCATGCGTGTGGCCCAGGTTCAATCCTCAGCACCACATACAAACAAAGATGCTGTGTCCGCTGAAAACTAAAAAAATAAATAAATATTTTTTTAAAAATTCTCTCTCTCTCTCTCTCTCTCTCTCTCTCTCTCTATCTAGAAAGAAAGAAAGAAAGAAAGAAAGAAAGAAAGAAAGAAAGAAAGAAAGAAAGAAGGAAAGAAAGCAAGCAGTGGTGCACACCTGCAATCCCAATGACAAGTTCAAGGCTAGTCTGGGCAATTTAACAAGACCCTGTTTCAAAATAAAAAAGGGCTGGGGAGGTTGATCAGTGCAAGAGCAATCCTGGATTCAATCCCCAGTATGGGGAATGGGGGCAGGAAGGGGAAGCAAGCTGCATTTATTAAGGTTGTCATGTTGCCTCAACCCCAGGTTTGAGAACTTGGCTTTAATATTTGCTCATAGACATTATAATAAATAAAAACAGGGCCTCATCTGGCATAATGCTATGCATTCATTCATTTTCTTATTATCCTTCTTCAAGACACACTCTGATAATTAGCTTCATTATCAGATGAAGAAATTGAGACCTAGCCAAGTTACCTTGCCCCAAATCACTCAGTTAAGTAGCAAAGGTAACTTTCAAAGCAAGGTTGTCAAATAACAAAGGCTCAGCTGAGTTGGAAGCACCAGGCCAAGTTCCTGTGCACAGAGTTGATTTAAAAGGTGCACTGTCCCATCTTCTGCCCTTGATGGAATAGTTTGTCCCCTTCAGCTCTGATATTCACTTCTTTAACATATCTAGTAATCCAGCTTTAAAAAAAATAAAAATTGCCAGGCACAGTGGCACACACCTGTAATCCCAGTAACTTGGGAGACTGAGGCAGGAGGATTTCAAGTTTGAGGGCAGTCTCAGCAACTTAGCAAGACACTTGTCTCAAAAATTTATTATTTTACTTATTACTTATTAAACCCAGGGACGTTTAACCACTGAGCCACATCCCCAACCCTTTTTATTTTTTACTTTGAGAAGGATCTTCACTAAATTGCTGAGGGACTTGCTAATTGCTGAGGCTGAATTTTCAATCCCCTAGCCTCTGGAGCTGTTGAGATTATAGGCATATACTACTGCACCCAGCTCAAAAAAATTTTTTTAAAAAGGGACTGGGGATATAGCCCAGTGGTAAAGCATCCCTAGATTAAATCCCCAGTACTTTGGGGTGGGGGGGGAAGCAGAAAATAATAAGTGTTGGTGAGGATAAGGAGAAATGAGAACCCTCATACATAGCTGATGAGAGTGTACAATGGCATAGTTGCTGCGGGAAGCCAGGCTAATAGTTCCTCAGAAGTTTAACACCGTCACCGTATGCTGTGGTTTATATGTCCTGCAGAAGTTCCCCGATGCAGCAATATTGGGAGGTGGGAACTAGTGGAAAGTGTTTGAGTCATGCAGCAATATTGGGAGGTGGGAACTAGTGGAAAGTGTTTGAGTCATGGGAACGAAGTCCTCATGGTTAGATTAATGCTTTCCTCATGGCACTGGATTAGTTACCATGATAGAAGTTAAACACTATGATGCTCTCACCAGAAGCCAAGCAGATGCCAATATCATGCTCTTGAACTTCCCAGCCTCCAGAACCATGAATCAAAATAAACCTCTCTTCTTTGTAAATTATCCAGTCTCAGGTATTCTGTTATAGCAACAGAAAATGGACTAAACCACCACATGACCCAGCAATTCCACTCCTCAGTACTACAGAGAATCAAGAGAAATGAAAATGTATGTTTATACAAAACCTTATATGTGAATATTTCTTGCATTATTCATAACTGCCAAAAATGGAAACAAC